GCGTGCGGAACGATCCGCAGCAATCCGCACTGATCCGCATTCTAGTAACGCCCACAAAGGGGGATGCACGTCAAAACGTCAGGATAGACTCGCAATCTATCCCGACGCATTGACGCACTCTGTCATTTGTTTATACAGCACTTCCGGTCGCAACGCAAGACCATGCGTCATTATGTAAACCAGCCTTAAGATGAAAAAAAGTGGCTGAACAAAACGGCCCGTTTTGCCGATTTTAGACTTTTTTATAGACAAGGTTTAGAGCCACGCTAGTGGTACCAATGGAGTCCTCTGGTCAAGATGAGGTCCTCTAAGAAGTCTGGTAAGCATAGGAACTCGTCTTCCCGGTATAGCAAGGCTGCAAAAGTCATGGCAGCCATTTTGTTTTAGGGTGAATCCTACTTAGTAACGCTACCGCGTTACTAATAGTACAGGAATTTTTTCAGAATTTTGACGTTTTCTTAAAATGGCTGCAACTTGAAAAATTGAAGTTGGAATCAGCTTAAACTTGCTACACAGCATAAGGACATCAATATGTATCAGAAAATGTAATAAAAATTTGGGGTGATTTGGAGCCATTTTTTGAAAAAACCATGGGCTATATAGTACAGGGATTTTTTTAGAATTTTGACGTTTTCTTAAAATGGCCGCAACTTGAAAAATTGAAGTCAGAATCAGCTCAAAACTTGCTACACAGCATAAGGACATCAAAGTGTATCAGAAAATGTAATAAAAATTTGGGTTGTAATCATTATGTGCTTCTTAAGAGCGACTGTGTTCTAATTATTTACTAGGTGCTGGCTATTATGAGTGTGGCTGATGTACTGTTATTAATACATTGTTTGATGCATTAATTATGGGTAGTTTCATTTTTTGCATTAACCATTACCCTCTCTCTTTCTATCCCTCTCTTTCTCTCTCTCTCTCCTTTACATCTTTCATGGTCTGAAGGTTCATTGAAAACTTTATCAAATTGTAGGCACGTCTTTTGAAGAAACTGGTTTACAAAAAGGCCAATACTAAAAAAAGAGACCAAACACTACTCCTCCCTCCATTCTATTCTTTCTCTCTCACCTCTTGGACAGCACTCAGTTTATTAACAATCTTCTCTAAAGCAGCAGCAAATGGCACCTAAGGAAAGCAACAAAGGTTAAGTATAGCAATACTGTACTAGTACCTCTGGGTTGGTCCGTCTTCTCTTTCCAGCTTTAGCTTTTTTCTATAAATAAACAATACATGTACATGTACATGTATGTTCAGGTGCACTGTAGATGTAAGTTAGGTTTTACCTCTAAATAATCTAATTGTTCATCTCCTTGCTTCTTTCTTTTACGAACTAATTAAAATAAGAAAAAGAAAGGAAAGAGAGAGGGGGGGGAGAGTTTTAGATTACAGTAATTCACATTAAGCTCATTACTCTTTTCTTTAGGGAATTTCAGTACTAACGATCTTCTCCTAACATCTTCAGCACTGCAATAATAATAAGTTATATCTCATTATCTCTCATTTTCTCTCTTACTGTTCAAGTAAATCTTTCTTAAGTACAACTTTAGTCCCTTCCACTTTAACAAGGTCATCTTGGACCAGTGGTACCTCACTGGTAGCAGCTGCTAACTCGTCATTGGTAGGAGCAACCTAATATGTACATTAGTATACATGTACATGTATTATAACACATGTACATGTACATTGTACCTGAACAGGTTGATTCTTGTATTTTGGACAGTTTTTATTAGTTTTCATGTGACCTTTCTGACCACAAGCACTACATGTTAACTGGAGAAAAGACAGATCAAAAATAGATGAAGATCAAAATAAATGAAGATCAAGATACATGTAGTCATGTACATGTACACACAGTATTAAATAGATGTTAACAATATTATACTAACATGCATGGCAGTGAATTCTTTATTCTTTTTTGGTTTCTGAGGCTTTTGTTTAGCTCTCTCTTCAGCTCTGTCCAACTGCCTAATAGCTGACTGTAAAAAACAGGAAGAAAGAGGAAATCAATTAAAAATAAAATAAATAATAGTTGTCATTTCTATGTCTGACTCTCCTCTTATCTCAGATTATCATTTTTATATCAGTTACTATTATCATTCTAATCTCTCTTTTTCTATGTACTGTATACTGTAGTTGTAGACAAGCCAGCAGCATGGAAGAAACTTGAGGGAGGTATGTTACATGAGAAATATGGAAGGAGAGAAAGGGACGAGATAAGAAATTGATTTTAATTGAGTCGTCTTAATTATTTAGAGAAACTTGACGAAACCAGGCCATGGCCTTTAAGATCAAGTCGCGACGATGATGATCATCACCATCGTCATCGCCACCACCGCAGTGAGAGGAGCGAAAGGAGACGAGACTGCGAACGAAGGAGAGAGAGTGACTCCCATCGTCACCACAGTCACCATA